CTTTACATGATGTGTCGATTTAATTTTATGTATTTTTTATGACCATTCATTTTGAGAGGAAAATTTGCCTATGATAAAGTCAAAGCTTTTAAGCATGTTATGAGAAATAGATCTGAAATGTAACCATCACGTCCATCAAGCAATAGGACATTTGTTTCACTCCAGTAGGATGCCCCATGCCTCCAGCCCCACAAGCAATCACAGTTCTGAATCCCTTCACTCTTTGATTTTGACAGTGTCTGAGTAGTTTTTATAAATGGAGTCACAGACTTCTTACTCTTTTGTGACTAACGTGTCTCACTCAGCAAAATGTTTTTGAGATTTGTCTGTGCAGATTCATATCTCTTAGCTCATCTCTTCAACTGCTGAATTTTATTTCCATTATGTGAACATACCACAAACTTTCAATCCTTTCTGTTCCTGATGGACATTTGGGTTTTTTCAATTTTGAGACCATTTTTTTATGTTTTTGTTAACATTCTTGTACAAACCATTTTGGAAATATAAATTTCATTTCTCTGGGATAAAAACCTCAGAGTAGAATTGCTTGATCACAATAACATAGGCATGTAGTTAACCTTGCAAGAAACTACCCAACCATTTTCCAAAGTGGTTATACCATTCTAGTCTCTGACCAGCAATGTAGAAGAGCTACACATCATTTGCAACAGTTGACTTTGACATAGCGTCTTGTGATTTTTATTTATATTTCTCAAATAATGTTGACTACCATTTGATGTACATTTTCATGTCTTTTTTGGCCATTTAGATTTGCATTATAGATTTAGTATATAAAGGCTAAAATTATAAAATATCTAGCTATGTGTATATATATATATATATCTAGATCTTTTGGCAAGTATCTGTTAAAGTCTTTTGTCTATTTTTTGATTGAGTTATTTGCCTTTTGTTAATGTTGATGAGTGCAAGTTCTTTATATGATCTGGATACAATTCCTTTGTCATACTGTCATATGTATATATAAAACAAGTATTTTTTGCTAGTCTATAACTTGCCATTTCACTTCTTAATAATTATTTTAAAAATAGGAAGATTTTTTTTATGGTTTATTTATTTTTTTTTATTAAATAATAAATTTTATTTTTATATTCCCCCATACAACTGCACATGCCCCATTCTGACCCCAATCCCTCCCCTCCCAGCCCCCACCCCCAAAAAGTGTCTCTGGTTCATAGTTTTTTGTTGATTTTTATTTTCACTTTCTTATAGTTATTCTTTTTCCTGGTCCCTTATTTAAGTTTTCTAGATTCCTGCTATGAGTGAGACCATCCGGTATTTTTCTTTTTCTTTTTGGCTTATTTCGCTGAGCATGATCCCTTCCAGCGCCATCCATGTTGCTGCAAATTGCATGTGCTTATCTTTTTTGAATGCTGAGTAATATTCCATGGTATATATGTACCATATCTTCTTGATCCAGTCATCTATTTTTGGGCATTTGGGCTGTTTCCAAAGCTTAGCTATTGTAAACAGTGCTGCTATAAACATAGGGGTGCAGGTGTTCTTTGGAATTGATGTTTCTGTGTCCTTTGGGTAAATACCTAGGAGTGGAATTGCTGGATCATATGGAAGCTCTATGTTTAGTAGGTCCAGAAATCTCCACACAGCTCTCCATAGTGGTTGGACCAGTTTGCACTCCCACCAACAGTGCAGGAGAGTTCCTTTTTCTCTACACCCTCGCCAACATTTGTTGTTGCTAGTTTTTTTAATATGTGCCATTCTCACTGGTGTAAGATGGTATATTTTGATGAAATTCAACTGTCTTTACCTACATCAAAGTCAGGAAGATATTTTCCTATGTTTTTTTCTAAATATTTTATAACTTCAGTCTTTGCATTTAAGTCCATAATGTAAATCTAGTTAAGACTGAAACTCATATTTCTCATACATTATGCACAGTTGTTCCGAGACAACTTGCTCTAAATGTTTTCTAATTCCCATTGAATTCACTGGATACTTGATTTGTAAAATCAATTAATCTGATGTGAACTCTATACTTTGTTTTGATCAATCTATCTTTGTACCAGTGCTAAACTTTACTGATTATTATAATTTTATGGAAAGTTTGAGATAAGTGCTCTGAATCCTTCATATTTGTTCTATTTTTTCAATGTAGTTTTGGCTGAGTTCTTTGCATACAAAAAATTTTAGAATCAATTTGTCAATTTCTCCTAAATCCTAATAATATTTTGATTATATAGATAAGTTTGAGAAGATTTCCATATTTTCCCTGAATTTGTTAATCCATGAATGTAGCTTTCCGCTTATGTAAGGCTTCATAGTAGCTCCCAGGAATGTTTTATAATTTCTAATGGAAAGTCAATGAACATACTTTATTACTAACCCATTTTTTATTATCATCATAATTGGAACTGCTATTTTTAAAATTCCATTCTCAATTGTTTGGTACTAGCCTGTAGAAATATATTCATATACTGACCTGGGTAAATACACCTTTTAGGTTCTATAATTGTGTGGGAGAGTCTTTATAATTTTCCATGTGAAAAAACATTTGTTTGCAATTTAAAAAATTTTTGTTTTCTTCCTTTCTAATATTTATTTCTTTTATTTGTTTCTTTTGCCTTATGGGCTGACTAGAGCCTCCATTATACTGTTCACTAGAAATGATGAAAGTGGATATTACTGTCTTGTCCCTATCATATGAGAGAAATGTTCCAAGTTCACCAGTAAATATGAAATTCATTATACACATTTTGTAAATTTTTTTCAGGTTGAGGAAATGTCCCTCTATAATTATCTGCCAGAGACTCATTTCGCCAATAACCCAACCCACATCTCTGTTAATCACCAATCTGTTCTCTATGTCTATGAACACGGTTTTGTTTTTCAGGTTCCATATATATGTGAGATCATTTGCTGTTTGTCTTGTTCTCTTCTATAGCTCCATTTCTGCACTAATATTACACATCTGTTCAATAACTATGACCATAGTCTTTGTTTAGTCTTTAAACATTATTTAGAAGTGCTGCTTTAAAGTCTCTTTCCACTAATTCCAAATTCTGGGCCAACTTGAAGTCAGGTTCCATTGACTGTTTTTTGTCTTGACTGTGAGTCACATTTTTCTTTTTCTGGTTATCTATAGTACCTTTTGAAAGTAGGTAGGACACTATAACCATGTGTCAATTACATTTTCAAAAACAAAAGACTGCATATGTGGGGGTTGTCCCATAGGCTGTACCGTGTAGTCTGGGTGTATAATAGGCCAGACTGTCTGGGTTTGGTTAATTATTCTCTATGAAACTCACACAATGACATCACCTAAGAACACTCTTCTCAGAATGTGTTCTTGTCATTAAGCAACTCATAGCTGTATTGATACTAGGTTTTGTGAAACTTTGCATTCTGATAAGTTCCTCTAAAGAGTGTTAATAGTAGTTCTGTTAGCTGTGTAACTTAGTTGAATTAATCTCCAAATCTTCTCAACATTAGAGAGTAATACCTAAAATCTCTGTTTAGTACTTTATAGATCCTTCTAGCTATTGCCAGCCCATCAATTCCTTAGAGTATACCCCATACCTGTACAATTAATGGTCATTTAATGATATGAGCAGAGTTTATATATAAATTTGTTGTCTCCCAGTAGTTTCCTAATTTCTAGGTTTTTCCCCTTTGAAAATACTGTGATGCTGGCAATCCAAAATTCTCCTCTTTAACTTCTCAAGACAACAAAACTATGACTTTTTGTTAGGTTCTGAATGCCTATCTCAGTGTTACCTGAGGCTTGCCATCAGACCAGAAAAAGAAATTAATAGAAACTAGGATCCCATCCACCCTTTTTCAAATGATACAATTCCCTCTAGTTTCTGCCTCCTTCATCTACTAATCAGATGTAAATGAGATTTTCAAAATATCTTGTCCACAGTTCATATTTATATATTAGAAGCGGGTAAGATAATTTATTTTGCTATTACTAAAACATAGAATTTTTTTTACTAAACATGTTTTATTACATGTTTTACTAAGAATGTTTTATTACTAAAACATAGAATTTTTTTTTACTTTATTCAAGAGCTAGGGTACAGGCCAGAGTCTCAGGAGGGTGAGAAGATTCACCAGAGACAGAGCAGGGAGCCGAACAGGCAGACAAACCGAAGGCACTGCTGAGGGGAGCAGTGGGCGAGACAGGAGAGGTCTGCTGCACCATGTGGGATTCTCCCTGGCCAGCTGGGAATAGAACCTGCACTGTAGAGGCCGAGGACAGCTTCACATCGCAGTGCTCAACCCGCTGCACCACCCGGGAGGCCCAACATATATTTTTTTTTTTTCAGGGAATTACTTTAAAGAGTACAGTTCGGAGCATAGGATAGTAATTGCTCAGTAGACAACATATTTTTCCCTTTCAGTTTTGTGAAAGCCTGATCTTAATTGGGAAGAGGAGATTGCAGTTAAATGACAATTTAACTCCGAGAGCATTACTATTGCATGTTAAGCTAAGAATCATGGGGAAAGGCTTGATTTTTAGGTCTGTTGATGAGGCAAAAGTGGTGCACAGTCAAAATTATCTATGAAAATCCCTTTGTCACTCATTAATGATTATATGTACAGAATCCTTTAGACTATTTTATCATTTCCTTTAATTCTCTGTTGGTCAATGTTTCTTTATAGAATTTATATATTTAATTCATTCCTGCAGGACATAAAAAAAAAAACTACTTATACACTTAAGTAAAGTACTTGCTTTTTAATGATCAATTGTTTTAAAAAAATAGGTAATTGTAATTATTTTCATGAACATAATTTAACTCAGATCTGATTGGATGTAATACCTGAATGAATCATCACTGAGTGTATTGAAGGCAAGAAGCTACTTTATTTTAATTCTTTCTCAAATATACACCTACCCACTCACATGCCTATGAACAGAGTTGAAGTCACAAAGCCAAAACACCCATGTGATGCTATGATATTTTACATAGAAACTCCTGCTTGAATTAAGACAGATTTCCTTTTTGTTTCTACAGTGGGGCCCTTCTGAATGTAGCTTGCTTGAAATTTAATAAAGTGAAAGAGATGTATTTCATAAAGACAAAGAAATTTTTACTGATTGGAGACAGCACAATATGTGTGAAGATTGGAAAAGAGAATATAACTTGCAGAAAAATAAACATAGTGAAAATAGGTAAGAAATTGGTTACGGTTGTCACATTTTAGTGTGCTGAATGTGCTGATTTCATGTGTCTGAACTTTCTGTATTTTAAGAGATAAACCCTGAAAACAATTGCACTGGAGAATAGCAAATTCTCTAGTGTAAATTTTTTTTAAGAAATAAAAGTTTTGAGACTTATACTACTTCTTACGCTGAGAGTAGATTGGCGGGTCTACATACTCAGCTATGAAAGAGAGTGCCTGGCATCTACAGATTACAAGAAGAGTTAATCTCCATGAAGCATCTAACTAGAGCTAGGCCTCCTGTTACCCACCCACATGTGCTCTTTCCTTTCTCACTTAACCTTCTCCTACATTCTTTCAATGGCCTCCCTATATGCCCACCATTTTTTGAGTATCTTTAGCTAAAGGATAAAGTTCTTTTATGTCATCTGCATTATTTGAGTTCTCCAGAAGAAACAGAACCATTGTAAGATATACATAAGTGGGTGCGTGCATGAAAAATATTTATTTTAAGAAATTGGCTCATGATACATGATTTCACACATGAAATCTGTATGGCAAACCAGAGTGTGGAATTCAGGCAGATGTGGATGTGGCAGTCTTGAGTGCAAATTCCTCAGGACAGGTCAAACACCCTGGAAATGCCAACTGGGTTTCTATGCAACTGGGTTTCTACATTCTTGAGACAGAAATGCTCTCAGGAGACCCTCCGTCTTTGCTTTTAAGATCTTCATCTGATTGGGTGAGGTCTACCACATTATGAAGAAAAACCTGTTTTGTTCAAAATCTATGCATTTAAATGTTAGTCATGTCTTTAAAAGTATCTCTTTAGACTAGTCTTTGACCAAACTAATGGGCACTGGAATCTAGTCAGATTTAACCCATAAAATTATCATCCCATCTTCCTAAGAGATTTGTTATTGAGAAGCGATGCCAAGGGACAGGGCAAGGAATTCAGTGTCAGCAGTTTTGTTGAGATTATAAATCTTAATTATTTCCTTGAATGAGGGGTAGGAAGTGGCTTGGTAAGATAAAAGTGTTGACTGTAATCTCTATTGGTCTGTTCTCTGCATCCACCCCCTTTCCTCTTGCTTCCATCTAGGGTAACTTCCCTTTTTATAATGCATCTAAGGGCAAAGAAAGGATAAACTTCCCCTTTTACGAGGTATCCCAGGGTAATGAAGGAGCATCTTCTTCCTTTTCACTACCTCTAGGGCAATGCAAGGGAGGCAAGCAGTCACTATTAAGAGTAAGTGACTAATTCTACCATAAAATTCTTTGTACTGAGTCAACAGGTAAGTCTGAAAGCCCAGCTTACATAACCTAGAACACGGCTCATTCTGTTGAGTAGAAGTTTGATGACTGCACACTCTCTCATAACAATCGGTTTGGGTTAGATTTGAACCCCCACTTTTGTTTGACATAAGCCAGACAATAAAGGTGACTGACCCTTCCTTCAATGACTAGCTTCTGAGGCTTGGGTGCAAGAGGAGCTAAGAGGCCAAGACAGGGTAACAACTGGTTTCTGGTGTAGAGGTGATGTGATACATGTAGGCTGCCCGAATTAGTACCTATCTCCCTCCAACAGCATTTCACACATGGCGCATATGATCCTAACAACCAATTTGGAGGCAGGTGAAAAAAAAGGGCTGAGGATGCGTTCAGAACGAATGCAAATGGGAGTAAAGACGTGGTAACCCAAGGTTAAGCAAGGGCCACAGTAGTGATCCTCAGCTTCTGTGCAGCCAAGAGAAGCCAGCTTGTAACCTGATTCTACTGGAATAATGAAGATCAGATTTGACATACTCCTCCTTTGGGGCTAATTGGTAGTATTTGCTAGTATTTTCGTATAAAAGTAGCACTAGCTGCTATCATAAATAAGCCCTAAAACATGCTTCTTAAACACCATTAGTTTATTTCCTGCTTAGCTAAGAACCAAAATGGGTGTTTCTAACCTCCAGGCAATATTTGTGATTGCTCCTCCAGGCAATATTTGTGATTCCTTCATTATATGGGTGCACTGTCTTTAACATATAAGTTTAAGTGATGGCAGGGAAGCAGGCATGGGATTACACAAGTGTAGTTTCTGGTCCAGGATGGGCCACACCCAGCTGCAAGACAGGCTGAGAAATGCAGTCTGGCCTTGATACAGGGTGAAGAAGAAATGGTTTCCTGACCCATAGCCAGTTCCTAATTCAGTAAGGAAGTGTGATTTTCAGAAGAAATTAATTTTAATTACAATTATTTCCTTGACTGCCCTGTAGATTCACCTCATTTCTTTTTTCCTCTCCAGTTAAACCTGAGGCTCCTTTTGACATAAGAGTCACCTATCGTGAAGAAGCAAATGACTTTGTGGTGACATTTAACACGTCACACTTGCGAAAGAAGTATGTGAGAGAACTAAAGCATGAGGTAGCCTACCACCAGGAAAAAAATGAAAATGATTGGATGGTATGTAGGACAACTACATTTATTCATTATGAAATATGTAAAGATATGTAGATGCACTTAAATAAATTATATATAAATTAAAATACATAAATGTATAAAACTATAAAAATAAGCACTTTTTTTCCAAAGCCTTAGTTCTCTTTTATTTTTTTAATAATAAATTTTATTTTTATATTCCCCATACAATTGCAACCCCCCCATTCTGACCCCAATCCCTCCCCTCCCACCCCCACCCCCCAAAGAGTATATCTGGTTCATAGTTTTTTGTTGATTTTGATTTTCCTGGTCCCTTATTTAAGTTTTCTAGATTCCTGCTATGAGTGAGACCATCCGGTATTTTTCTTTTTCTTTCTGGCTTAAAATAAGCACTTTTTAATGTGACATATTTTATCATCCTAGAGGTTATTTACCCAGGAAGGGCCACTAGCAATTTTATGCTCAAAATCTACCTTTTATTGATAAAAGTCCTCAAAAATATAGAAGTTTTGGGCCCCATAAAATCTGGATCTTCCCTGACCCATTCATGTTCTAGTTCTGATTTATTTTCATTCTCTATATTTTATCTTTACTGTTTCTAAATTAGGTTGTTGAACTAACAAAAAAGTTGTAGCCAAATCAACCCTCTTTATTTTAGGCCCTCAAAAAATATCACATTTAGCACAACTTTCACAGGCAACTCAGGAAAAAAAACACATCACGAAGCCACAATGTGGTTTCTGGGCAGTGAGAGAACAGTGAGAACAGTGAAGAGAGGAGGTGGAATGTTCTTCTTTTTTTGTGAAACCTACACTCTTAGTTGTTGAAGAAACAACTTTCATCCTTCATCACCTGGGGGATTATTTGCACTTTTCGTGATTTGCTACAGTTGCCCTGGCCTTTGGGGAGGAGGTGGGAGAAAAAGAGATTGTCTGAGGTTCTCCGGTTCCTCTGACTCTGCTGCTGACTTCGGTCCTTTTTGCACCACACAGACATAAAGCAGATGATTATTCATTTCACTCAAGGTAAAAAGAGTGTGTACTTTTTCATACTGTTTGTTTACTCAGTCCAGGATCAGCCCTGTCCATTTGTCCATATGCTCCTTCAACTACTTAAAAAGTGTCATACCCGCCCCAAACCACCTTCTCCCTTCTACCCCCAACCATCAAACTCACACACACACACACACACACACGCACGCACGCACACACGCACGCACACGCACAAGCATGCACGCAGTCATGAGCAACCACTGCTACCAGAGTTCCCATACCTTCCATTGTTATTTGAAAAGTGCGCCAATAGGAGAGCAAGATTTTGAATATTTAGTGCCAGAACAATCAGTTTACAGGGGGAAAAATTAATGCCCAACTCATGCCATGTTACACCAACAAAGAATGATTATATAAGGAAATATGTAAAACTGAAATTCTAAGCAAGCTGGAAAAAATATATGTAAATGTTTACATATCTTGAGATGAAGATGAATATTCTTCAGCATAAAAGAAGTAAGGTGGGATACATAAAAATAAAGGTTTATAAATGTCAACACATTTGATAATCAAAATTATAACACAAGTTAGAAGTTTGGATTAAATTGCTACTCAGAGTAGGCAGTTAATATTATTAACATGTGCCATATATATTAATGTTATTAATGTAAATTTATATTATAAATATTCTTGCTATAAATATGTGAATATTCTTAATATGTAAAGAAGCCTTATAAATTCATTAAGAAAAAGCCAAAGGGCCTCCCTGGTGGTGCAGCGGGTTGAGTGCTGTGCTGTGAAGCTGTCTGCAGCCTCTGCAGCATGGGTTCAATTCCTGGCCAGCCAGGGAGATACCCACATGGGAGCGGTAGACATCTCCTGTCTCGCCCACTGCTCCCCTCAGCAGTGTCTTTGGTCCTTCTGCCTGTTCTGCTTCCCACTCTGTCTCTGGTGAATTCTCTCACCCTCCTGCATCTCTGGCCTGTACCCTAGCTCTTATATAATTAAATAAATCTTTTTTAAAGAAAAGACAAATATAGGGCCTCCCTGGTGGCGCAGCAGTTGAGCGCTGGGTTGCGAAGCTGCCCGCAGCCTCTGCAACACCGGTTCGATCCCCAGCTGCTCCCCGGCCACCGGAGGAGGGTCCCACATGGCGCGCAGACCTCTCCTGCCGCCCGCTGCTCCCCTCAGCAGTGTGCTTCGGTCCTTCTGCCTGCTCTGCTCCCCGCTCTGGCGCTGGTGAATTCTCTCACCCTCCCATGCTTCTGACTGTACCCAGTGCTTGTATAAATAAATAAATAAATCTTAAAAAAAAAAAAAGAAAAGAAAAGACAAATATAACAATGGGAAAATTAGTAAAAAACTTGCAAATGTCTCACAAAATAAGAAAAACAAATTCAACAAATATATGGTATCTTTATATATCCTTAATATAGTATAAAGTAATCAATAATTAAATATAAATATAAATAACAATGGAATATCCCTTTTTACCCCCTACATGGATAGAGGGCTTTTTCCTAAGGATAATAATGATGGAAAGACTAGCTTCTATATTGCTGTTCACGAGGTAAAATGGTATCTTTCTGGAGGGAAGAGATTCTTGCTCACTGACTTTGTCATTCCTTTTCATCTCCCCTGGGGAGATAAAAGACAAGAGAAAGAAAATGATGAGATTAAAGTATGGAAAGGCAAGTGGGTGCCTCCCTGAATGGGTGAGCCCAACTCACCCCCCCCCCAAAAAAAGACCCATGGTTCCCCATCTTCTTTGCCACTTGTAGCATCACCTAGGCGCTCACAGCCTCTGCCCCAAAATCTGCAGATGACCCCTCCAGATGACAGAGCACCTTCTAACAAATGCAAGAAAATCTCCTTTGAGAATGTCCATGTGACTAAAGGTACTCACCCTGAAATGATGTGGGAGATCCAGGATCTCTTATTCCATCCTAAAGCTGTAGTGGTGTTTTTTTACTCTTTAGTACGTGAATTTATCCAACACAAAGCTGACGCTCCTACAGAGAAAGCTACAACCGGATGCAATGTATGAGATTAAAGTTCGATCCATTCCTCATTCTGAGTATTTTGAAGGCTTCTGGAGTGAATGGAGTCCCAGTTACCACTTCAGAACTCCCGAGGCCAACGCAGGTGAGACGTGACCATAGAGTCTCTGTTACTCCGGATGTGTGAGCAAGAGTGAAAGCGGGAGATGAAACAAACTGACAGGTTTGGCCTCTGCTGAGGGCGTTCTTACACAGTCTTTGGAGAATGACCTCCCCTCCTGGGTCTTTTTGTGAAGAACAAGGAAGAAGTGGGAGCAGAGTCCTTAGTCTCTGATCAGCTGTCAGGACACAACTATCGTGTAGTCCTGAGAGCTGCTAACAACTCTGAGCAAAATCCTTCCCCATCCATCCCCTCCAGTTGACCCCTTTAACTGGGATCCCAGAGGCTCGTCTGTCTAAGGCCCCTCTAGGATGCTCTTATGGGCAGGCTGGTGGGACTCTCACTAGTCTCTTTTCCAAAATAAACAAGAAAAATCCTGGGAGTCTAAGGCAATGTGGTCAGCAGAGCCAAAAAACATGGCTCAGGAAGGTCACTGGGGATCTGAAGGGACATACACCTTCCCTCTGGGACATCAAGGAAACTGTCCAGCCATACCAGTCTTCCATCCTCACCCTAGGAAATTCTGAGCCTGCAGGGAAGAGCATCTCTCATCTTCCTGCTTTGGTGGGAGTAGCTGCTTCAATGCTAGGTCAATTTTGCATGACAAATGTTTGGGAAGGAGTCACCCTAGTCAGCGCCACTTGCTAAGATTAAACTCACTCATTAAGCTTACACATCATCCTGTTCACTGGAGAGCACCTTTTAAGAAATAACAAATGGGCCTGAGTGACTAAATAAATTCAAAGCATCCTGAACATCCGTCTCTCCCACTGCACACTTAATGCATGCTAACCAAGATCTGCCCTTGCGTTTCAGGAGAGATGAATACTGTCATACTAACTATCAGCATTCTGAGTTTTTTCTCTGTGGTTTTGATGGTCATCTTGGCTGGTGTATTATGGAAAAAAAGGTGAATTTCTGTATTAATCAGGGGGTGATGATGGGGGATCCCAGTGATCAGAACCCTAAAAAATCAGAAGCTACAAAGAGGAATAGGGTATTTCAGGAATTAGAGTGCCCAGCATTCGTCCTCATTCTCAGGTACTAGTGAATTTCCAGTTAATTTCAGAGGAAGTGAAAATACATAAACTGGATATAAGGCAAAATGTCCGCCCCAACTTTTCCTCCAAAGTAGACACTATGCCTCCAGAATGCCTGAGCAATAAAGACACCATGGTGAAGCCAGAGTGTGTTTGAAGTCTTGACCTTCAGTTCACAAATCCATGGGACACTGCATCCACCCCATGAGAGAGCTGTGTGCATTCATCATAAAAACGATGCTTTAGGCACACACCAGTCAGGTTATTCATGTTTGGAGGAGATGCTATCAGGACAGGGCTACGCAGCCTCAGGATATTTCAGTTTTAAGCACACTTTATAACAATTTTTCCAAATAACTTAGAAAATATTTCTCAATTCCACAACAGGGGAGTTGCTGCCAGGAAAGAAAAGGATAAGACAAAAAATGCCTGTGTTGAGAGTAAATGAGCTAATAATAAATGGTTCATTGCCAAGCTTCATTGTTCCTTTTCTCCAGGGCTCTTTCCCAGAGGTGTAGCATTGTTATGTCTTGTTCACGGAGTAGGTCAGTGACTATGGTCTCTGGTCCAAGCCCTGCACAGACTGATAGGACACAAAGGTCAAAGGAAAACAAGTCACTTGTGCAGTCACCCATCTAGCTGTGGCGGAGTCAAGACTAGAAATCCACTCTTCTGGTTCTTGGCTCACAATAAGTGGGACGACCTATCTTCCCTGCTTTTTTTTTTTTTTTCTTTCAGAATTAAGCCCATTGTATGGCCCAGTCTCCCCGATCATAAGAAGACGCTGGAACAACTTTGCAAGAAACCGAAAAAGGTGAGAGCTTCTGGTGTTTCTATGGCTATGGTGGAGGCATGCCGGTAGCCAAGAATGATATTGTAAGAATAACAAACAGTGAAACACCAAGGTTTGGTCATTTGTGTACCCCATGAGTAGGGTCCTTTCCAAGATCCTAGATGCAGCTCCCCAGAAGTAGGAAACGAAAGCAAGATGCAAGTCTCAGAATTTCCCAGGCCTCTGTAGGGCTGGAAGGCACAGCCAGGGGTTATCTCAGACTTGAGGTCCTACAACTCTTTCAGAAGGAAAAGTGTCCACTGTCCCATGTGGGTAATTCTCTGATGTTCCCTGATAAGCCCCTGTCTTTTTGACTAGACATCGACATGTCTGTTTGTGGCGGTCTTAATGTCATCTCTCTGTTTTGGTGCAGAATTTGATTGCAAGTTTCAATCCTGAAAGTTTCCTGGACTGCCAGATTCATAAGGTGGATGACATTCAAGCTAGAGACGAAGCAGAAGGTTTCCTGAAAGACACTTTTTCTTCACAAATAAAGGAGTCTGAAAAGCAGAGGCTTGAAGTGGGCATGCAAGAGCCCAACTGGCTGTCCCAGAATGCAGTCATCACCCCAAAAACTTCCAAAGGAGATTCACACTTCCTGTGCCTGGCTGGGAATGTCAGCATGTGTGACGTCCCTGTGCTCCCCACTTCCAGGCCCCCAGACTGCAGGGAAGGGGGCAAGAATGGGCCTCATGTATACCAGGGGCTGCTGAATAATCCTGAAGCTACACACAGCACTGTGCCCCCTCCATTTCCTTTCCAAGTTGGAATTTTGACCTTAAATCCTGCTCCTCAAGGACAGCTCCTCCTCACTTCCTTGGGATCAAGTCAGGAGGAAGCCTATGTCACCATGTCCAGCTTCTACCAAAACCAATGAGCTGGAAGAAAGTCAGGACCAGAACCATTGTGACAAAGATGACTGTGCTTCTACCCACCCTCAAAACACAAACCATACGTAATTAATTTTGCAACCCTTCTACATGAGTAACCAGATTCTGAGACATTGCTTTGACCACACCTACCTGCTTCAGTGACATGCAATGTGAGGCAGAGGCCACCAGCTTCCGGCAACCCAGATGATTCAACAATCTCAAAAAGAAAAAAAATACAGAAAAGGGTAGAATGAACGTGTGGAGAAAGCAATGGAGGGGTAAGGACAGCAAGCAAGGATAAGAGGAGAAAGAAGGAAAGGAGGGCAAGAATGGCAGGTGCCATTGTTAGGACTGGCCCTACACCCAGAGCTGTGCAAAGAGCTCTGCACCCCCAGTCTCACGCAGCCTCACAATCATCCTGGGAGGTGGGTGCAATTATATTCTCTTTGTTATAGGTGATGAAACTGATCTAGATGAGGCTTAAAAGGGTTTAGTAACTTGTCCAAGATGCCCACTCAAGAAGGGATGGACCAAGTTTGATGCCTAGGAATCTGACTGCAGTCTCCCCAAGCTTGCCACTAAAAAAAGGGGTCAACCCATTCCCAAAGGCCGCACCTCACTGATACCAGGTAACTGTATAATTCATGGTCTAAACTGGGTCACTTTTGAAAGAAAAAGGGAAAGGTATAAGTAATCACTCCAGGACACTGATCATGAACTGTGAGTCGCCTTGACATAGGTACCTGAATTTAAAAGGCTATAGAGAAAAAAAAAGTAGTGGAGAAATGGTCTCACAAGTTGTGAAGTACCAGGACCCATCATGTCTACAACAGGCAAAGAAGGCAAGAAAAGGCTACAAGTCCAGTTCTTTCTATTTTTTTTTTAAGTGTTGGGAGGGAATGAACTCAAAGCCCAGAATCCATAGTTAAATCTCAAGAGTATGATCCTCTTGCTACCAACACCCACCTGCATCCATGAATGATAAAAGACCTGTGGTGACCCCAAGACACTGATGCATTTGAGGAATGAGACGGTGAATAGCCCATCTATGTACAAAGACTGCCCACCCCAAATCCATCCACAAACTGCTGGGTTCTACACCCTGGGTGTTGCCACGAATGTCTGGGAGAAGGGAATTATAAACACCTGCAACAAGTGAACCAACTACAGCCATGTTCTTGAACATCTAGAAAAGAGACATACTTTCAACACTTGACATGGGCCCTCTTGCATTTCCCAGTCTAGGGTAAATTCCTAGTGACTATCTCAAGCCAAGTCAAGGCAGCTGAGCAGCGTCAGCTCAGGGGACACCTCTCCCACAGACTCCAGACCCTCGGTATACGCAGAAGCACGCAAGGCAGCCGTGGCTGGTGGAAGTAAATAAGGACATGGGTTCAGATTTTTGTTTGGGGTTTGTTGTCATTGTTTCGCATTTTTTACTTTGTTCTGTGTACAGTTTGTTAGGAGAGAGCAAAGGAACCTTGTCTGTTGGTCTAGAGGCCTCTTAAGAATCAGACCATCTGATTTTTCAGTTGGATATTTTACTTTCCAAAGTCCCTTCTCTGAACCAATCATAATGGATATAACCCATCATGCCTCAGATGTTCTTAGTGCTTTTGTAACTCTGAAAGCATTTCCATAAACATATTTCTTTCATTTCCTCGACAATAATTTATGGAAATTCTGCAACGTGCCAACCATTGTGTCAGGCGTAGACGATCTACCACAAATAAGCTGGGACTCTGCCCTATAACGTGAAAAATCTAATGAAATGTGAACAAGTGAAATGTAAACAACTGTATTAACAACCGTTAATACAAACTGTTGTCATGGAGTCATGTTCAAAGTGCCTTGTTGGAGGCAGTCAGGGAAAACCCCATGAAAGTGACATATACCTGCATGGAAGACAAGTAGCACCTGCTGGTGTACGTGAGGAGACCTTGTCCACCAGATGGACATGTGTTCTTTCCTCTTGTGGAAGTGGGATCCAAGTCTTAAAGAGGAGCTCATCACATCTTAGCTCTCTTAGCTCTCTGGTAGCTTATTTACAGAAGTCCTAGCAAGTATTTATTATTATTATCATCCTTGACTTATGGGAAATTGGCACACAAGGCACACAAGTGAGTTACTCAGCTTACATGTTAAGTTGAGACTGCAAGTTGTAGGTATGTATCCCTGACATAAATTAAAAATCTCTGAAAGAAATGAGATACATCTAGAGGAAATTCTAGGTCCCTTTCCCTCTCAAGTCCTCTGTTTCAGTGTTGTCTAGCATAGGTTATCTTTTGAAATTGGTGTGTGAATGTCTGTTACTGGAGACATTTAAAATCCATGTATTATACTCTTATCATCATAACTGCTGCTAATGCTTGATGATATATTCAGAGAAAATATATAACGTACAATGTAAGATTATAATTTGTTTGCATAACGCCCCTTTAGGATGTCAGTATGAAAGAACTGCTGGTCAGAGACAATATATAAATCATAGAAGGAAACTGTTAAATCTCTAGAACATGAAATGAAAACAGAAAATTGAAAAATAGGCAGCTATTTTGGTCAATTAAACAACCATGACTGGATCTAAGGAAGCCTGGCTTGTTCAGCTGGTTTTCTACTAGATTTTGACCCTCTGGTAATTCTAATTTACATTTGCATCAGAAAAACCTAGTACAGGAGGTTTCAGATGTGCACACTTCCAGAGTGTTTTCATAGCACTTCGGAGAGATGTGAGCGAGAGCTGGCCAGGAAGACGGCAGGAATACGTGATAGGGAAACTGCAACTAAAAATGATGCCGATCAGAGGACATTTCTGTCAACTCAGTGGTTTTCTCTGGGGTTATTCATTAAAATATCCATTGTGCACTACACTGAGAGCCGCTGATTTCACTGTACTTTCCACATGCATTACAAACATTTTGCAGAGCTGCTAAATACATAACTCTCCATCATGTGTAGCCATCATGTATTTAATTAAATGCTATGGAACAATCCGTGACTATACTTGTCTTCTTTAAGAAAGGTGAAGAGAGATACCCAGACCACGAGCTGCCGTTCTTCTTACTCACGAGGAACATTCTGGTGTCTTTTGCTGTCATTTTATAATTTGGGATTTCCAGAGGACCTTTTTTTTAATCAACGAATTTGCAAATTGATGAATCAATAGCATTTTGTTGAGGACCTGTTTTGTATTATTTTGCATTGTACTGGGCCTTCAGGTTATAGAAACCAGATGGGGTGTTGCCAGCTGACTTATACAGAGAGAAGGCAGTAAGAAGCAGTCACAATGCCATTGCATTGCCTGAAGGCAAAGCGTCAGTCAGGATTCTTAGCTTTAAACAACAGAAACCAGGAAAGGAATTTATGAAAGGCTATCAGAGGGCTATCTGATATCTGAAAGGTTTCAAAGAACTGAATGAAGGCCACGGGTATATCTCTACCACTGGCACATCCAGAGACTGGAAACAGCCACTACCCCTGGCCCCTGAGTCGGCCCCAGAGCCAACTCAGCAGTGGGGTCAGGCAGCCTCGTCTCACTGGGTGCTGGATGAAAAGCAGAGCTGGAGACTGTATTGTTGGCAACTGATCCTAGTGACATGCCTGGACTCTAACAATGGAAAGTGGAGAAGAGAGGAGTTGGCATTTTCATCTTCTACAGTCTCTGCCTTGTAGAGTGGTGTGTTCCCCAAATACAGGAAGGAGGTACCACTGCTGGGTGAGGACAAAAAAGAATAAGAAGAAAACATTAGGAAAGAAGAGCTAGGAACGGGGGATGGGGAGCGAGCCACATGGCTGCAGGGTGGAGCGCTGTGCAGAGAGGGCCTTTCCTGGCAGAGGAAGCAGCAGTTTCAAAGTCATGGAGCTGAGAGAGAGGAGGGAGCGCTGGGAGAGTTACCAACATAGTTGGCATGTGCTCTTAGCCGTCTCCACTGAGAACAGTACAGTTTGGTGATTATTCCTGAAAGTCAGACATAGGGCAATTTAATAAGAAATAATATGCATCTGCCTGGAACATTTTATTTTAATTTAAAGCATGTAGACTACGTACCCATTCACCACTCTTGGTATGACACCAAGACTGTTCTTTTGGGGCTATTGATTTATTTCCCTTTTCTTTCTTAGGTAACACCCACCTACATAAACCATCATCTATTCTTTCTAGTTTTGCTTTCTTTGAAATGAAAAAGGACTTGCCAATATTATCAAAGAAATCTAAGTGTAGATGCCTCCTTTTGTAAAGATATTCTTCTACCCCAATCACTTACCCATTTTTCCAACCCAATTTGCTGTAAGAATTTTTTCAGCATGTCTTTATCAAGTCTTTGCAAAACACTGAAGGTAGTCCTCCTGGATTTCTTTGCAGTTTCTTTGCATGCTCATAGTTCAACAACTTGCAAAATATAATTACCAAAAGTTAACTGGTCTAAATAAGTTTGGGAGCACACATGACTGACTTTGGTGAGTTTCTCTCACTTGATGGGCACAGGGTGCCAGCCGCCAAGTAGGTGTCCGTGTCGATGAGAGAGAAGAGAGAGAGAAAGTAAGAGAGAGAGAGAGAGAACCAGTTCATTCAGCAGGTAGTAGAAGCCTTCTGGAGTCCTCCGCAAAGCAACCCAGAGTCAGCCAAGCTGTGATTGACGTGACTCAGCAAAACTGGTGGGTGCCAATAACTGAGGATTTGATGTGGCAGTAGAAGAAATTTGTTCTCAGTTTTCAGAGGATGGAGGGAGTTGGTTGGATTGTAACCTGTGCTAGGGCACAGGTTAAATTCCATGTGTATGTCAGGATATATGAAGGAAACTTGACTCAGCGGGATAGAAATTAAAAACAATTTTGGCATTTCTCCAAATACTCTTCTGAAAGGCCTTCTTCTCAATCTTGTTTTCTGAGAAAAGCTCCTGTCATCAGCAGTAACCAAAGCTTAATTCAATCCTGCCTTAAAATGCAATCTCATATTTGAATCAAATCACTTACATCCTCACCACAGGTGAAGTCGTGTCAAGAGGGACTTAGAAAGGAAGAAAGGTAATGACTTCGGTTTTTCATTGTTTTCTTCTACACAACTTAAAACACTAACCATTTCTTATATCACAGTCTCTGTGGATCAGTGGTCAAAGCATGGTTTATTTTTTTTCTTGTCTTAATTTTTTTTTATTTTATATAATTCTTACCTCACAGCCTCTGAGGATCAGAAGTCAAAGCATGGTTTAAATGAGATCTCAACAAGACTGTAATAAACAGACAATACACAGCACATGGCCCATCAATCAGCAAAATATTAACTGCTCGGAAGTACTGACATTTTCACTCTACTAACTGCTAACATTAAAATAATGTTTAAAGAAAGAGCTCATGGACTTTGATGTATGTCAAAACACCCCATTCTTGGAATATTTCATGGTTTCCCAACCATGAAGCGCTTGCACTTGATTTTCTCTATACCTGACACATGACTGCTCTGAATCTTGTGTGGTGGACTCCTTTTTATTCCCCAGACCTAGCTTCAAAACCCCCTCGTCACAAAAGTGGTCACCATGTCAAAAACAAGCCCACTCTGATTATTTTATTCTCTATATCCCTTGTTTTTTCTGCAAAACTTTTTTCACAATGCCAGCTACCTTATTTACTTCCATTGGTTGTTTATCACTGACCCTCCCCAATGCTATCATGCAAGTTTTATTCAAATTCCAGCATCTAATTTTATTCTTGGAATTAAAAAAAAATGGGTATTTAGTAAATTCTAGCAAATGAAAGAGAGAAAGAGAAGAAGGAAGAGCTTTTCCGGCAAATAGAGAAATTTGGTGCAACATCTACTTCACCTTTGCCTCAGGCTTCCCCTGGACCAGGATGTAGCATTGCATAAGTGGACAGAGAGACCACAAAAGTTCATCTGCCCCTGCCCTCGTCTGGTTATCATTTGACCATCTTTTACCTACCAGGGTGAGGCATTTGAAAAAGAAAATCAAGTCACTCTGACATGAAAATTCCTCAGTGATTTCTCAGCATGACCTACAAGGTTCTTGATTGATCCAGCGCATCAGTCTCTCAAGGTTGCTGTAACAAATTGTCACATACTTAGTGGTTTAAAACAACACAGATTTATTTTCTTACAGTCCTGGCAATCAGAACTCCAAAATGAGTCTTAGGAGACCAAAATTCTCATGTTGGCAAAGCTGTGTTCCTTCTGGAAGTTCTGGGGAAGAATCCTCTTCCTTGCCATGTCCAGCCGCTAGAGGTCACCTGAAATCCTTAGTGTATAGTCCTTTCCTCCAAGATCAATGTGGATTATTCTTAGGTCCTCTATTTCTGTCATCACAATGCCTTCTCTCATGCTGACCCTCTAGCCTCACTCTTATAAGAACCCCTATAATTTCATTGGGTCCTCCCTAATAATCCTAGGTAATCTCTCCGTCTCAAAATCCTTAACATAAAAACTGCAAAGTCTCTTTGGCCAGATAAAGTAACAGACTCAGTTTCCCGGGTGTAGGGTGAGGTAAAAGGATCAGGGTTTCTGCCCTCCCGCCATTAGGGTAGATGAGGGAACCCTGTGGTCCTGAAAGCATGCCTGATGGTGGGCACCTGAAGCGGGCACACCTGGGCTGAGAGACTGAGGTTATAAGGGCGGCTTCATGGAGACGCCAGCAGAAGCCAAGAACAAACAGTAGCCCAGAGACGAAGAGAAGCAGAGAGAACACAAGAGAGCCCAGATAGAGTGAGGATTTGCTGGGGGCTGGGAGGCCTGCCAGCCCCCCGCCCCCCAGCACCCCTGCCTGGCGTGTGCCTGGTAAATCTAAATAAAAGACTGGCCAAAGCTACTGAGGACTCTGACTCCTCCTTGACCCGGTCTGCTGGAGCATAGAAAACCTGCTCTGTGTCCTTCCTGCCCTTACAATTGGCGTAAATCGGCAAGATGATCCACGCAGACGGGAATGGAGCCCTCCGAAGACCTGGAGGGACTAAGGAGTAACAGACTGTGTGAACTTGTGACGGCGCTGGAGGCGCCATGGTGGCACAGGAGGTGGACAAGGTCCAGGAGCTGTGGGGCGAGACCTCACGTGGAGGAGATGTCTGAGAGAACCAGCCCAAGACCGCCGAGGCAGCAAGAGTCGTCGGGGAAGAGAAGACCACGATTCGGAGCTCGCCAGTGCTGAGCAGGGAGAGGCCTGATGGACTTGGACTGACAATCCCACCAGAAGGCGGAGGAACTTTGGCAAGTTAAGTTTTGGGGACCCTGGGGGAGGATGCTGTTGTTTGTACACCCCAGGAGATGGGAATGTGGGGGTGGCCAGAGGGCCTTGATGGCCAAAAGCAGCCTGTGTATGCCCAGCAGCCAGGCAGAGGAGAAAAGCCAACTGAGAAGGCAAAAGCTGGTGCTGGTGCTGCGTTTGGGAAGCCCTGAGCGGCTGTTAAGCACTAAGTAAGCTGAGGAAGGCCAGTGAGTCTCGTAAAATCACCTGTGGGTGATGCCCTGCTCATTCTTGAGTGAGGGTGAGGAGCTGAGGAACCTGTCCTTGGGGGACGGGTGGGGAACGTGGCTTGGGGTGGAGCCCAAGCCGAATATAGAGTTTGGATCCCCGACCCATGTGCTTGTGCAGTGGGTTGGCCTGAGTGCAGGGGTCTGCGAGTCGCATGGGTGGCCATGAAGGCCGAGTGTTGGAGCGACTGCAGACAGAAACCCCGAGGGCTGGCGATTACCCCCAACAGAACAGAATCACCAATCCCAGAGCAAGTGCATCCTGGGAGTGGATGCTGTGTGTGGCATGTAGCCGAGACTACAGCCAGAGAAGGCCAGGAAGCCTGATGGCTCCTGGTGTGTGACAGTAGATGCCGTGAGTGATTCCCCTCCCTTGAATGAGCAGTGCCTTCGGCAGAAGTGGTGGCTCATCTGCTGGGGCCAATAATTATATTTTGCCACTAGGTTGGTGCCCTGCCTGCAATTATTTGTGTTCTGTTGTAGTTTATGTATTCTGTTG